ACGGTCAGGATTGGGACAGGGTTCGGATGCCTGTGCTCTGCAGTGGCTGGCCATTGATGGCGTGGAGGCGAGTTCTGACGGTCAGACGTCGCATCAGACGGCACTTCCTATCGTCAGGTCATAGTGTCATCACCGAGCCAAAAGACCGCCTCTATTTTCAGGAAGCTCAACTTTGAAAAGAACCTTGCTGTCCTTCCAGTCACCCCGTGATGATCTCGCACACCTCAACCAATCAACTCGCTTGTGGCACTTGCACTGGCACCGCTTGTGGGGGGTAAGCAGAAACCTCGAACCTTCGATTGCGTGGAAATTTCACGAGACAACAGACACGGGACCTTGCGGGAAGAACATAGGCAAATACGAATCCAGCAGCTGCAAACAACGAGCGCATTATACTACTCACAGGGACCCCTCATGACATACCGCACGGAAAAAACAGTGGCTCGGAACTTCACATCACATGTCAAAGCATGAACGTACGAGCTGGGAGAAGGAAAAACGTCTCTAGATTCTAGGGCTTCATAGTTGCTTGGGTGCGTGGAGTCTCTGAAAAATCCTGTTCTCCAACAGGAAATGAGCGGGTTGGACAACAGAACCCCAGAATTCCTCAACAATTCCTCAGGGCCTGATCCAGGCTGGGAAAGGAGACAATCCATGTGCTGGTGGTTTACCACAAACGAATCTATTGAATTATTCTACACTTCATATCTCGGCGTATACATAATCGGTATTCAAATGAAGAACAAATGTTGCATAAAAGCAGAATCTCGCGTTGTCACCAAACCAGCAATTCAATGGTCACACTTAGAAAATCTAACGGTGTCACCGATGCTTTCGGCGCTTGGCGGCTCAGAACAGACGCGACTCGAGGTTCCAACATCACTGAAACAGGCTGATCGATCGCGAGATGTGCCTTCGATTATGTTCATGTGTCAACATATCGACGGTGTTGCATTCTGATTCGTCACTAAACTTTCCAAGGTTGCGAAGGGGTGGCCTTTCGACCAACCAGAAGCCAATTTTTATCACATCGTCATCCTTCATCCGTGCGAGTTTCGCTGGTTGTTGCACGAAGTGCTGCGACGCGGAGTTCCCCTCGAGATTTGGAGCCTCTGTGACGTTACCACCAAGCCTCGTCAGCTTCGTGAATGCACGCACCTCCGCATCAGTGGCGGCTAGCAAAGTTCTGAAGTGGTGATCATTTAGCTGCTATAACAACCGTCGGATCATATTGCCGTGTACATCTGACGGTTTTAAGTAGGTCAGACAGGTCGAGAACTTCCACACACCTGCAGCTGGGTCGCCTAGCCTCACCTCACCCTTTCTCCCCTCCACCTCACCACCAAACCAGCTTCGTGTCGTGTGGAGAAAGGGGAAACGGGAAAAGGGGGACGAGGCCGATGCCTGGCTGGCAGTGGAAAAGCCAGTAAAAACACACTCGTTTCCGGGAGTTGGTTTCGGTTCTGCAAGTTCTAGAAAGTTGAATTACGGTTGGACCCTGAAAGTGCTTGTTGCGTGGGCCTGTTTGGTGCGTCTCACTGGCTCGTGACTCGTCCCCGTGATTCACGACCCACCACTACAAATCCATGCATTCTCCCGCTCTATTCAACCAGCCTGCCATTATTACTAGCCACTAGCTTGATTGCTTCTGACACACTCAGTTCAACATCCAAGCTTCCTTGCATGTTATTGCGGAGCAAATAGAGAAACAATTAGGAGCTCAACGTAGCGGCTACGAGTTTCGTTCCTTCATTTTCGAAACTACTGTCAGCGTGAATCGTCTAAGCCAGCAGGAGACTCCTTCCCGTTTCGACACCAGATAAGCAAGTGCTTGCTGCATATTGTAACTTCAGAATGGAGGCCATGAGGAGTCACTCGTCAATGTCGGCTCCAGATCTCTTGGAACACACACCAGAGGAAACATCCGACCTGCCTTTCCCGAGAGAAGGTCACTCCGTGGCGTTCGTCTACGGCACATTAAAAGAGGGTTTCAGCAACCACTGGCTTATGCAGGAGCTGATGCAATCTGGCGACGCCATCCGGATAGGAACTGCTCGGACCGTCCAGAACTACCCTCTTGTATGCGGCCCGTTTCAAGTTCCTTTTCTTCTACATCTCCCGGGCAACGGTCACCGCGTCTTTGGAGAGATTTACGAAGTTAACGAGACAGCGGTCGCCAGGCTGGACATTCTTGAAGGTATCGACCGTGGTCACTACGTGCGGCTACCGCTTTCCCTATCTGACGTCGAGGTTAGGGAACGACTATCAAATGGACGGGAAATACTGCCATTTACGGGAGGGGGTTAACCTAGAAGTGAAGTTCACGGCAGTCGCGTACTTTGCGGGGATGGATCACACGCCCGGATTGGCCATGGGGGAGGCGATTGAGTCGTTTGACGCTCGCGCAGCGGCGACTTACGTTCCGAGACGAGAGAGACCGGCGAATAAGACGTTCTTGGAGCACGTCCATGCGTGGATTCAGGAGCGGCGGTCATTGGTCGAGGCGACCGAAGAGGTGTATCGCTGGGCTCTTCCTGTTCAGTGATTTTGGGTTCGCTCAATGTATAGGGCATTCATACGTTATAGAAGATTTCATTCTTTTTCAGGGTTGCTCAGTTCGTCTAAACGTGCCGAGCTTGTTCCTTTTCATTCTGTTATCAATAATTAAATTGATCGTTCTTTTGAGTGCGCTATGTGGCAAACATGGCTCCTAGACTTCCTTTCACTTTCTGTGCCTGTATACAAGCTGGATTGTCGCATGAAAAATCAAAAGATACGGTACTGCCCTGCCGAGGAGAGGTGCTTGTTAGTGCCAGTTCTTGTGCCTCTGTATGAAGCAAGTTAGGAGTTGGACTAGCTACGGTATTCCACTCAGCTAAAAGTTCAGTCTCCTTCAACGCAGCCATTGCATGGAGGTGGAAGCAAATAATTCATGCATCAACATCAGGTTCAGGAGTGAGTGTAAGGTATGCAGACGCAGAACTGATAGTAGGTATGATGTGCAGTGCTTACTATTGATCACCGCAGACCTGCCAAGGGAAATCTGCAGTTCGTATTGATCAGCACATGTGTGTTCCATAGTGACTGCTATGTGTAGCAGAGAGGACCACTCCACATCACATCACCATTTACTAACAATGGTGCAACAGTGCAACAAGATATCAATCATGGCAGCGCATGCAGTAACAATGCTGTAGCAGAAACTCCATCCATCCACCATGCCAGGATAAAACACTGCAGAGTATGGCTGTATGATGAACCACCTAAACGTCTTCGTGTTACGGTACACATGCTAAGCTACAGTTTTTGAGTCTGAGTATTCCACTAGCAGCTGGAACAGAAGCAGACCCTACCCTACGTTGTGTTGCCTCATAAAGCAAAGGGCGAGATTGCGTTGGTGGGGATTGGGGCAGGATTCAGCAGCAGCAAACCAGTTAATGCTTTCAAGCAGGCTGGATGTCAGAATTACTGTCCAATGTGTAGGAAAAACACGAGGATGAAACGAGTCAACGTGGAAAATAGACACTGATTTGTGCAAAACAGGCATGACCATAGGGAGGCACTTTGATGCCCTACCTTGGAAGTTTTAAAGGCATGTACTGATCCATACTGGTGTATGAATGGTGTGGCATACATGATCGGGTATGGAGGGGAAGTGAGAATCTAGGGGGAAGAAATGACTATGATGATACAATCGACGTTACATTGTATTGGTGTATGAACGGGGTGACATACCTGATCGGGTGCGAGGAGTGCAAATGTAGTAAAGGCAGGCAAGCACAGACAAGACCTGAAGGGATACTTAGGGAGCAACTTCATAGGTAGAGGAACAGAAGGAGAGATAGAGCAGAGTGACTAGAGACACTGCCTGGACTGCAATAGACAGGAGGAGTGCAAATGTAGTAAGCGCAGACAAGACTTGTAGAGGGGTACAGAGGGGAAGAGATCAACCCATAGGAGGAGAGGCAAAAACATGAAAAGAGCAGAGTGACTACTAGAGACTCGGCCCAGGCCGTGATAGACGGGAGGGGAAAAGATTTTGATGCGTTCGAGACAGGTCCGAATAGGCAGTATAGACCGTAGTAGACATGCACATATATATATATATATATATATATATAAAGAAAAAGAAAAAAAAAGAAAAAAAAGAGACGAAGATGAAACAAGACAGACACAACAATGGCAAGAGATAAAGTGAACATGTATTTCATAGCGTACGGTGCTCTCAACTGGGCTTGACAAGCAATCAAATATCAGGGGGACGTTGTCTGCAGTGGCAATCGATCGCTGATAAGTTGGCAGCATCTGGGGACAGTGCAGGACAGATCACGGCAACGGAAAACAAAATGGCGAATATATTTATATGTTGAATTGCTACAACTCATTATCCTTCTCATCATAGACATACATAGCTGCTAAAGGCGGGTCATACTTTTTTGTTCCGGGTTTGGTTGACGTGGTTGAATGCGGTAAGTTAAGCTTGGGCATAGTTTTGGCTTTCATCGCTTTAGACCATTGCACACCAGGATGGACCATTCAAAACCAAACCGCAACGAAAATTATGACCCACCCTGTGGGTCATAATTCACAGCACTGTGGATCAAAATTTCCGAGACGTCTCAAAAGTCGTTTGAGACGTCTCAAAAGTAGCCCACCCTGTAGGTCATAATTCACAGCACTGTGGATCAAAATTTCCGAGACGTCTCAAAAGTCGTTTGAGACGTCCCAAAGGTAGCCCACCCTGTAGGTCATAATTCACAGCACTGTGGATCAAAATCGAGCCTGCTTATTGCGTGCAAAGGTTCTTCATTTGGATCAACAAAAAATGCGGTATATAAGTTAGCTCTCAGTAAAGCGATTACTACAGTGGAAGGAGGAAGAATAAGCTCTACTTCATGTCACTTTCCTTATCGTATCCGAAGCTCAATTATTCTTTGTGCTCTGTAATTTCACCTACCTGCGACAGCGTTACAGAGCCTCCCATGCCAAAGTCAACGAGCTTAGCATTCTCCTCGGTCAAACAGTCCAGAAAGAGCTCCAACACGCTCAGCTGGGCTCAGAATGAAAGGAGGAAAGGCAGTGCCCCTACCTGCAGTGGCGTTGCACAAGCCCTCCCATGCCAACTGAACGAGCCTTGCATTCTCCTCCGTCAAACAGTCGAGAAAGAGCTCCAACACGTTCAGCTGGGCTTCAGAAAGAGGAGGGGGAACAGATGGAACACAGGAGATGGATGCCTCACAGACGTTTCAGATGCAGGGAGAGGAGAGGAGGGTAGAACAGATGGAGAGTTGAAGGTAAGGTGAATGGTTTACGTACAGAATCAATCTGCAAATGCAGGCACCTAGCACTGGAAAGTGAAGGATGGCAAGTGGGGAAAAATACAACTTGCTTCTACATTCAGTTTCGATACAGTTTCATTACAGTCACATAGCCTCGATACAGCCACCGATAATCACCTTGTGCAGGTAGCCATAATTGATCGGGTCATAGGCGAAATTGACCAGGTTTGCTAATAAGGCGTTTCAGTAGAGTCACGCAGCTTCGATACAGTCACACCCAGAAAGCAACAACCACCCACCTTGCGCAGGTAGCCATAGTTGATCGGGTCATAGGCACATGGCCATATTGCTTATAGAACCTTTCAGTACAGTCACGCAACTTCATCAAAGTCACACCCGCCCAGCTACAATCACCTTCCGCAGTTAGCCATATAGCTGATCGGGTTCATAGCGAAATTGGCCAGTTTGATAATAGGACATCCCAATACAGTCATACAGCTTCAAAACAGTTTCGATACAATCGCACACAGCTGTTATCACCATGTGAAGGTAGTCATAATTGATCGCTCCATCAGCCGAATTCGCTAGGTTAGGTTTGAGAGTCGACGCCTTAATACAATCACACCCACACAACGTCAACCAATCACCTTGCACAGATAGTCATAGCTGATCGAGTCCTTTCATACGAATTTTGCCAGGTTGCTCACCCACCTTTCAGTACAGTCACACAGCTTCAATATAGCTTCCATACAATCACACCAGCACCACCTCAACCGCTCACCTTGCGTAAGCAAAACATAGTTCGCTAGGTTAGCGATTCGCTAAAAAATTGGCTGATTGCAAGGACGGCTGGGTTGTCCGGAGCCTGGTGTCTCATTCTTGCCCCCACAAGTCGAGAGGAGAAGGCGAAAGTGGAGTTTTATGGGAAGAAGTCAGAGGTTGAGAGGGAAAGTGTTGGTCACTTTGAGACGCCTTAGGACTCGATAATTATCACCAAATGTGGTGGTGCCACAGCACTATCCTGAAAGGTTCTGACACCACCGGGTTCTTAGAACCTTCCATGACTTCACCAGGATATCCTGGATCTCCGAGCTCCCCACCAGACTCGTAATCCCGAACGCACACTCGTATTTACGGAGTAGAATGCAATCGAAGCCTACCTGAAGGTACTCGAGTCGCGTCGTTCCGCTCCTCCCCTGTCTCTCCGTCAACCGCGATGCCGTGCTAAACATGGTCCTGCGACTTCGAATCGCGATATGGTTCAAAAACTTTTAATAAACAGCGCCGCGTTCCGCATGACATGGCCTTGCGTGTTAGAAGCGCGATGTACTCTAGAGTCGATCCGATTCTGAGGGGCCTAAAAAACCAAACACTCGGATCGTCTCTGCTCTCTGTTTCACTCAACCGAGCGCCTCTTGAAGCAGCGGCGAACGTCCGCTGCGAAAAGTCGCAGCGGTGCTCCATGGACTCTTGGTACGCTTACTGTGTCTAAAGTTACTGGCGTTCCCCGAAGGACCGGCGGGTAGAGGCATCGGACGGCAACCGGAGCTTGACGGTAAGTGTTAGGAACCGGCCCGTATTGAGTAACTCGTTAATACGCGATGACTTGATTAATGTGTTGAATCAAGTCATTGCTTAAAGTTGAAAACGATGGTGGGCTGGGGGACCACTTCGATGAAGCCATGTCAGACAGCCGTGGAAGTCACGCATTCTAATGGTGATGGCTTCGGTTCAGAACGACTGATTGGCCAATCGGAATCTGGAATGTCGTGGAGCTGACGCGGCTTGCGGTTGAAAAGCTCCTAACCGAGGCGTGTTCACGCATTCCCTTCCAAGTGCGCACCGAAATTGTTCACCAAACGGCCAGCGTGTCGTCGCCTTTATGTGAACTCCCTGAACACGCACGACATGACTTTCCAATCTGCGCCTTGAAAATTGGAGAGACGATGCTTACAACCAGAAACCAGAATGTATAATCGCCTTAAGCGTTCGGTCCTATATTAGTTGAATCGTTAGTGTGTCGCAGGTATTTCCCTATCCCTAAAAAAAGACTCATATTACGGGTAGAACAAACAGTTGTACCTGAAATTGAGCAATTCACGAAGCTCCACGAAAGATGAGGACCCGTTCAAGGAGCTGATGGACTGACTCGTTTTCAAAACTACGGTCGAACTTCCAAGCACGAACTAGTCCACCAAGCTTCATGCTGGAGCTGACGCGGAGTGGGGACCACAGCAGGAATGGCCACCCTTTTATTCAACCGTTGATCACCACGATCAAAGCCTTCAACTACCCCCCAACTCCCGTTGCGATCACCCAGCAGCTTTGATGGGTGACAGAACACATTTAGACCGCTGCTTTCTCGAGCCGCCGCTACCAGCAGCGGATAAGCTGGTGCTGACTTTCCTGTCCCTCAGCCTCAGGCAGTAGTAGCGGCGGCAGAAAGGCTTCGGCTCACCGCCAAGCTCGAAAACCTGGCGGCTGACTAATCCCAAGGTCACATCCCGTCAGTCACCAGAGCACTGCAGTTTTCCTCCCACCTGCTGTGCTGGCTGGCAGAGGCTCAGTCAAAGCAGTTCAGACACTCAACTGAGGCTGAATCCCTTCAAAGGCTCAAAACATCCAGTTCTGGGCCTCTTTCTCGCTGCATTTTCTCTCGTCCGGTTCTAGCACAGAGGGAAACTCGTCCGTACGCAGCGTCAGCCGGATAGTCGGCATCTATGGAGGCCGTCTGATCTGACCGTTAGCCGGTGACGGACCGAGTGGCGAGCCGGTTAGGAATACTGCTCCGAGCCGTGCGTCTGGTATAGCCTAGCTAGCGGATTCTAGCTCGCTTGGTCGTTAGTCCAGCTCGCTTCGGAGAGAGCATCACGCTTCGCATTGTTCGTCGCGTTCGCGTTGTTCGCCGTCGCGTTTCGCATTCTTCGTCGCGTTTCGCATCTTTCGCCGCGTCTCGCATTCTTCGTCGCGCTGCACCGCGTTGCTCGTCGCTGTTCCAAAGAACGCCTTCACGACCACAGCAGTAGGAGTAGCAGCAGCAGTCCTAACCAATGGCGTCGGACGGAGGCGCGGCGGGGGGAGGATCCGCTGTGCGTGGAGCTCCCGGAGCGACTCGCCATCCTGCCGTTCCGCAACCGCGTGCTGCTGCCGGGGGCCATTGTCCGAATCACGTGCTCCGAACCCAGCAGGTTCGTATTTTCCCAGACCTCAAAGAGTAAGCAATGGCGTGGGTTGAGGGGCAGCGGCGGAGGATCCGCTGTGCGTGGAGCTGCCAGAGCGGCTGGCCATCCTGCCGTTCCGCAAGCGCGTGCTGCTGCCCGGGGCCATCATCCGCATCACGTGCTCCGACCCCAGCAGATATTACTGCCTTTGCCGAGTAGGTCGTTTCGTGTAAGTCCCCAGAGCTACTTTTGGGTCCACTCAAGACAAGCCGAAGCGGCTGGCCATTCTGCCGTACCGCAACCGCATGCTGCTGCGGGGCGAATAATCCGCATCACGTGCTCCGACCCCAGCAGGTGGGTGGAGAGTCGTCCTGAGGGTGTAGCATATGCGGGGTGGTCCATAGTACCTAGTAGTAGTACCGAATCACCTGATCTGAATGTTTACGTCTGCTCCCGTTCCCCCCTCCACGTGGCAGCGTGCGGTTGGTGGAGCAGGAGCTGTGGCAAAAGGACAAGCCCGCGCTGATTGGAATCGTACCTGTTATAGAGCCTCCTGGTTCCGCGGATAGCACTGGAAGCGGTGCTGCTGCTAGTGGCAGTGCTGCTACTAGTAACGATGCTGCTAATGGAGGTGATGGAAATGCGGAAGGAGGAGCAGGAGGGACGGGAGGGACTGGAGAGACGGCAGGAGGAGGGGAAGGGGCGGCAGAGGGAAAGGCGGTAGTGCGCGTGTGGGGGCCCAGCGGACCAGAGGAGGTGACGGGGGGAACGGCGAAGCTGCTGCTGGAAGACGTGAAGTGGCACCCCAGGTGGGCTGATGCTGCAGGTGCTCTCACAAAAGCCCTCACAACCCTCACATCTCTCACAACCCTCACATCTCTCACAACCCTCACATCTCTCACAACCCTCACACCTCTCACAACCCTCACACCTCCATCTCACAACCCTCACACCTCTCCCAACCGTCACATCTCTCACAACCCTCACAGCCTTCACAGCCCTATCGGTATGTTATATTGGTGCAGCTGAATGCTTGCAGGGGTTGACGGGGGGAACGCCGAGGTCACTGCTGGAAGGCGTGAAGTGGCACCTTAGGTGGGTTGCTGCTACTGCTGCGGCTTCCAGGACGTGACAGTGGCAGCACAAACGCTGCAGGTGGCCAAAGTAGCCGCTTCTCCTCCAAACCTGTGCAAACCCTCCCTCCTTCCTTCCATGTACCTCCCCCCGGCTCCTTCTCCCTCTCCCAAGGGTGTGGGCAGCACGGGCGCTGCTGATGTGGCTAAGGCCGTGGAGAGGCCCACGAGCCGGGTGCCTTGGTGTGGAGAACGGCCCTTCTTTTTTCGCCTTCCCCTGTTCCTCATCCGTGCAAGCCCAACCTCCTCGCCTCCCCCACCACCATTCCTCGTCGTATGTCTGCCCCTGCACTTCTCTTCCCCCCCAGGGGTGTGGCAGCACGGGCGCTGCATGTGGCCAAGGGCGTGGAGAGGCCCACAGGCCGGGTGACCTATGCGGGTGGTGCTGCAGGTGAGTTCTCTCTGTGGTGATAACTGCAGGGTGCAGCAGTCTGTCTGTATGTGGCTAAGGGCGTGGAGAGGCCCACAGGCCGGGTGACCTATGTGGTGGTGCTGCAGGTGAGGTCATTTTGTGCTGATAACTGCAGGGTGCAGCAGTCTGTGTGTATGTGGCTAAGGGCGTGGAGAGGCCCACAGGCCGGGTGACCTATGCGATGGTGCTGCAAGTGAGGTCATTTTGTGCCGATTTGTGACATGCGCCACAGGCCCACACTCAAGCTTATCTTGGGTGTAAACCTAGGGAAACAAACCTTGACTCCTAGTTGAGGGGTTGGCCAAACAAACCTTGACTCCTAGTTGAGGGGTTGGGCCAAACAACCTTGACTCCTAGTTGAGGGGTTGGGCCTAACAAACCTTGACTCCTCCCTGTGCTGTGTCCCCAAACAAACCCGAATTGTTGGGTTCACAATTATTGGAGGGCCCTGTGATTGTGCTCCCACTTGACCACGGTAATTGGCCCCTCACATTTTTGTGAGCCTCCAACTGATTGGAGGGGTCAAAATTGTGCCACGGCTTGACCCAAACCCCATCTATTCGTCCAGACTATGTAAACCCCTTTTTCCTACTCATTGAAATATTTCAGTTTATCACAACCTATGCAGTGATGCTGCAGGTAAACCAGTCTTATATAAATGTAAGTCGCTAGTGGAAGAGTTGCTGCGAGGATAATGTAACTGCAGGGTGTTGCATAGTGATAGTGGTGCAGAGTGATGCAGAGTAGTAGTGGTGCATAGTGATAGTAGTGCTCAACACAAGGGTGTGGCAAAGCGATGCACGCCACGCCTTGGCTGGCACAGCGCTCCTCTTTGCCTCCCAGGGTGACTTTTGAGTCGACTCAAAAGTCGTCACCTCGTACCACAAAGCGATGCACGCCACGCCCTGGCTGGCACACGCAGTCCTCTTTGGCCTCCCAGGGTGACTTTTGAGTCGACTCAAAAGTCGTCACCTCGTTACCAAAGCGATGCTCGCCACGCCCTGGCTGGCACAGCGCTCCTCTTTGGCCTCCCAGGGTGACTTTTGAGTCGACTCAAAAGTCGTCACCTCGTTACCAAAGCGATGCACGCCATGCCCTGGCTGGCACAGCGCTCCTCTTTGGCCTCCCAGGGTGACTTTTGAGTCGACTCAAAAGTCGTCACCTCGTTACCAAAGCGATGCCTCGCCACGCCCTGGCTGGCACAGCGCTCCTCTTTGGCCTCCCAGGGTGACTTTTGAGTCGTCTCAAAAGTCGTCACCTCGTTACCAAAGCGATGCACGCCATGCCTGGCCCTGGCTGGCACAGCGCTCCTCTTTGGCCTCCCAGGGTGACTTTTGAGTCGACTCAAAAGGTCGTCACCCCAAAGCGTACCAAAGCGATGCTCGCCACGCCCTGGCTGGCCACAGCGCTCCTCTTTGGCCTCCCAGGGTGACTTTTGAGTCGACTCAAAAGTCGTCACCTCGTTACCAAATCGACCATGCGCGATCGCCACGCCCTGGCTGGCACAACGCTCCCTCTTTGGCCTCCCAGGGCGGGGCGTGCATCGCTTTGCCCTTACTCCACCAACTTGCAGCAGCCCTGCCGCGCTGACCTGATTCGTCTCAAACTCACCTGAACCTCTTCTCCCCCCTCCCCCACCCCCACACTCTCCTCTCCTCTCATCGCACTCAGGGCGTGTGTCGCTTTGTCATCCTCTCTCCATCAACTCGCGAGGGCCGTACACATTGTCGGAGTCTTAAGGCATCTTACAGCAACTCGCCTGTTGGGATCTTGAGGCGACTTACTTGCCTCACCCTCTCCTCCCCTTCCTCCTCTCCTCGCCCCAGGGCGTGTGTCGCTTTGCCATCCTCTCCATCAACTCTCGAGGGCCGTACCACGTGGCTCGGGTGTCCCAACTGGATGCCACACCACAGGGTTAGTCAAAGGCACCAGTTTTAAGACGTCTCAAAACTTCCTTCAGGTTTGCATTATGAGTTTGGAAGGGCTAAAGCTCATACCAGAATTCGTAGTTGAGTAAGAGTCGTGTGTGTGTGTGTGTGTGTTGTGTGTGTGTTTGTGGGTGTGGGGGTGTGTGTGTTGTGTGTGTGTGGGGTGGTGTGTGGGTGGGTGTGTGTGTGTGTGGTGTGTGTGTGTGTGTGTGTCCGTGCACGATTCCTGGCACTTTTGAGAATTCTCAAAAGTGCCTCGTGCCTCGATTTTCGAGACGTCTCAAAACACGCTTACTTTCCCACGCGGATTTTATATGGAGAAGAATTCTCCTAAGCTGCAGCCGCTCGCATAGTCTCATGGCTGGAGAATTCTCAAAAGTGCCTCGTGCCTCGATTTTCTACTCCCCACAGAGGCAAAACCGCGTGCGAGGAAGCACTGAGGTTATGCACTTGTCTCTATGATATCTTGCTCCTCGATTCATCATAGCCTCTTTTTCGTCCGTCTTCATTCCTCGCGTCGCCTCTTCATCCCTACAGAGGAAGATTGGGTGCGAGGTGATGGCAGGATGCTGTGATGTGCATATCATATCGGCTCATTACTTCAACTCCTCCCCTCGTCAACCCACAGAGGTGACGTGCGGTGGTGCGACGAGGTTCGACGACGGAGGTTCGGCGGCTGGAAGCAGCTGCTGCGAGTGGTGGAGGAGCTGGCGCGGGTGATGGAGCAGGTGAGAAGGGGTTTGGTTGCTGAGGGTTAACGATGACATAAATAGGTGGCTTCTCTGAGTCTATTCAAGGTGAGGCGGCTGGGAAGGCAGCTGCTGCGGGTGGTGGAGGAGCTGGCGCGGGTGATGGAGCAGGTGAGTGAATCAGGGGGCTTTATTATTGAGGCACCCAACCCAGGAAAGAATAAGTCGCATTCTGAGGCACAACGATCATGCCGAGGCTAGCAGACGTGCTGCTACTGCCACCATCTCCTCGAGGAGCTCGCATTCTTTCCATCCACTCCCGCTCTCCTTACCCCTCTCTTGTTCCAATCCCCCTTGCCCCCTCCACCCACGTGCTCGTGGCCGCGTGGAGCGTGGAGCTGGCAGGCTGGCAGCTCACTCATTTGCTGCCCCATCTCCCCTTTCCCACTCCCAGGAGAAGCAGCGGCAGGTGACAGGGCTGAGGAAGGTGGCAGCAGAGTCCCAGCAGGCATCGGCCGGGGAGATGCAGAGGCTGGCAGATATACTCGTGGCCAGCGTAGAGGGCGGTGGCTGGCAGCGCGCCTGGCGATGCTGGACGCGGTGAATCCGCGGATGAGGCTTCAACTGGCTGCCGCTATCATCTCCCTGGCACTTGGAGGTGTGTCTTCAGGGGGGAGTGTGTTTTCACTTGAGAGTGTTGTACTGGTTAAAGGACTTGGGGCGGGTTAGCAGCGCGCCTGGCGATGCTGGACGCGGTGAACCCGCGGATGAGGGCTGCAGCTCGCTGCTGCGATTATTTCCCTGTACTTGGAGGTATGGAGGTGTGGTTTGGAAGGGTTTGCAGGGGTTAAGAGTGGTGCGTGACAGCCCTGGGGGCGGCTGGCAGCGCGCCTGGCGATGCTCTGGACGCTGTCAACCCGCGGATGAGACTTCAATTGGCTGCTGCCATCATCTCCCTGCACCTCGAGGTATTTCCGTTGTGGTTGGAAGGGGTTTAGTGCGGTGGTTACAGTTTGAGGCCTTGGGGGCTGGTCGTGGTGGCGTGGAGGTGAGGGCTGGCAGCTGCGGGCAGCCGCGCCTGGCGATGCTGGATGCGGTGAACCCGCGGATGAGGCTGCAGCTCGCTGCTGCCATCATTTCCTGCACCTTTCACTGCTGCCAGTGTGGTTTAGAAGGGTTGGATTGGAAGGCAGTGTGGTGTTTGAAACCCTGGGGCGGGCTGGTAGCGCGCCTGGCGATGCCGGGACGCGCGTAATAAAAGTGCATTTTGGAGACGTCTCAAGAAGCCCGGGGCGGGCTGGTAGCGCGCCTGGCGATGCCGGACGCGCGGAGGAGGCTTCAGCTCGCTGCTGAGTGTTCGTCGCTGCACTCAGAGTTATGAAATCGGCGGGACTGAGGGTTTGCAACAGTGGCAGCAAGAAGAAGAGAAGAAAAAGAAGCCTTCCTCTTTCTCCTGGTGACTCATGAGTCGACTCAAAAGTCACTGAGGGTTTGCAACAGTGGCAGCAAGAAGAAGAAGAAGAAGAAGAAGAAGAAGCCTTTCCTTTTCTCCTAAGCTCCCCTTTCTTTCGTCCCTCCATTGCAGAAGCCCTGCCCGCCCTGGTGCAGCAAGGCTGCAGCAGCGGCTGAAAGAAGGAGAAACCCCTTTCCCCCTCCTCCAAACCCCCCCTCGCTGCACTTAGGCCCTCTCCCCTGTTTCCAATCAATTCTGAAG